TGTGTGTGTGTGTGTGTGTGTGTGTGTGTGTGTGTGTGAGGGCGAGGGCAAAGAGGAGTACTCAACAAATAACACACTCATACACTACTAGAAAACATGTTTTGCGTGCCACATACACACTCAATTATTATATTATTTATAACTGCTTTTCCTGTGCACATTGTGTGCCTTCTCTTCCTCTTTCCCCGTGTGTCATAATACTTGTCTTACCGAGCATCTAAGTATTCTTTGTACACATGTGTCATAATACTTGTCTTACCGAGCATCTAAGTATTCTTTGTACACAGTGTTTTGTACACAGTGTGCCTTCTTCCTTTCCCCTTGTGTTCACCTCTGTGTCTTAGCGGCCACCTTGAATACGTGCCCGTTTGTACAGAGTCATGTTCCCTGGTGAACTCCCTGGCTCCAATGGTTGTGTGAACCTACAGTCCGCAGTGTGGCACACGTGTGAAAAGAGTGCGCCAATGGTGGTGTTAACCTACAGTCCATAGCGTTCCACTCGTGGTGTGAGAAGCATGATCTGCTCTGGACACACGGCCTTAGCTCAGTGAGTACAACAATGGTGTCGAATGCGCGTTGTGGTTTAAGGGCGCAGGTTCAAATCCTGAGATCTGCGCCATGTGCATCCAGCCGTCGAGCGTCAACCAACGCACACGTGTGTACACATCGGAAAAGGCAAGAGGTCCGATGCTCTAAAACTCGGCTGCGCATGGGGTTTCAAGATACAGCTCTCAACCATGGGATCCAGCAATTATGGCTGCGCAATGGAGGCTGCCCCCCTGCCCATGTCACACGGCATTGCTCCAAAGCTCCATGTGGGTTGTTCGAGAGCACCACCTGCACCCCCTCTTGGGTTATGCCGGGTCATGGGGGGGGGGGGGGGGGGGGAAGCGCCGGGGGGGGGACTCAGTTGGGAAGAGCAGGGAAGGGACGCCAGGGTTCGCTATTTCCCTCGAAGGCCTACAAGACCCCGTGAGGCAAACAGGCAACAGGGTGCTTAATCCCCTCCCAACAGGTCACCTTGACGGTCCCCGAAACCTGAATTGATGTATAGCGCACCCAGTTGCTGGCAATTAAGAAGCACCGGTCTCACTTCATACATGCCCGTGCGTGTGTGTGTGTCCATGGTTGAGGTTGAGTGTTCGATCCTCGATTATCCCCTGTCTGTGGGTGGGTCCATTGTGCTAACATGGAGAGCTGTGGTCCTGGCTCCATATCCATTCTGGGCAGCATCAGTCCGGTTCCTATTCCCCCGGCAAGTCAAAAACTGATACATCATAAAAAAAAAGAGAAAAAAAAAAAGAACACGCTCACGATGATCTGCTTTGGTCCTCCTGGTTGGTTGTATTGGCTGCTTACCAATGCTGTCCTGTGTCTAGCTGCCCACCCACTTGCCTTGTGTTGTTGCCTTGTCAGACATGCCCCTCGGCCTGGCTGGTCTACAATTTGACTTGTGTTGCTGGCATTGCTGCCTTGTCGGTGCCGCCCTGCTGCCTACCGGTAGCTGCCAATCCGCATGCCTCGCACTACTGCGCAACTTGCCATGAGTTGCGCCCTTGTCAGTCCTGCTCCACTGCCTTGCTGCACTTCCCGTTGCCGTGCTTCTTGCTTCTTGCCCACGTACCGACCCTCCCTCTGCTTTAATGCAGTCTGCTTTGTTTATTGCTGGTCTTACCGCCTGACTAGCTCTTCACTTGCAACAGGGATCGAACAAGACTGTAATCCAAAGCATCAACATGCAGATTCTTCAGAATGTTGATGGTTCAACATCCCGATTAATCCGTGAGAGACGGACGACAGTCTGTCATTTACTTTTCGTCTCTAAATTTGTTGTTTTTGTGCCCTGACGTCTACGGAACATCGTTGTTACGCTGGGGGCAACTGGGTCTTATGCTCAATAGACAGCCATCTTTGGAACTCTGTCGAGTCTTAAGCTAGAAGAAACCATGTCTTGGGGTTAGACCACCAGTACCTCCAGCTATTTCTCTCCAACACAGCCGTTAACACGCCGCATCCGAAAGGGTTGATGGTGGTGAACGACCGGTAGACAGTGAAATGAAAAAAGGACAAAAGAGAAAAAAAAAAGGAAAAAAGAAAAAAAGCAGTCCAATTTACGAAATTGTAAAAGGGCATGAAAACCAGCAGGAAAAGAAGACCGCAGCAGGGCAGGGTTGGGGGAAAGAATAGAAAGAAAATAAGCTCTCTCTCTCTCTCTCTCTCTCTCTCTCTCTCTCTCTCTCTCTCTCTTACCATCTTCTCCAGAACACAACCCACCCTCATTTTTGCTGCACTGGACCAGAAAGATAGCTTGTATACATTCATTATCAGGGTGCACTGTGTTCGGGGTAAACGGCAGAGCGCGTGCACTTAGACCCAGAGGAGTGATAAAAGTTATAGAGTGAGAGACATGCATTCCAGACTGCATCAGAAACCTTGTCAGAGATGGGCAGCCAATTTTCTCTACAACAGCTTACCTACCACACCTATTGTCACGACTTGTCACGACCGGAATCATGCCCTCACATACTACGAAACACTGCAAGTCAGGAATGTTATGCTATCGTTGACCATCCGCATATGCTTCCCTCGTTGGCGGGGACGATCCACGACAGCTCTGGACGTGCCGAGAATCATAAGACAAAATTACCTTACAAGGAGCGGCACTTCCCTGCAATGAAAATGTGGAGAACAAGACTGGAGGCATACACACCGACGACTTGGTCATGCCAAGGATCATAGACAGAAATATGGAGAACCAAGACTCAGCAGTGGTTGTATTGGAGTTCGATCAACCTGTGTACTCAACACACACATTGAAACTCGATCCCGGTTGACATACAAGTCACGTTGCTGTGACAGAAACAGACACCACACACCAGAAACAAACCTGCAAGGGACGTGCGATAATCATACATAGATCAAACACAGAAACAACAACAGGCACTCGATAAATCACGTTCCTGCTTGTATTACCTGTTGCGTTTGTATCTACAAATACGCTTCAGAGGCTTTCACCAACAATTGACGAATTGGCTGCCAATGACCCCAACTGACTGGCTCAAAAGAAAAATGTCCACATCAGCCAGCCAACCATTCAATTCCTCATCCACCAGTTTGGGGGTGGAGGGGGGGGAAGGGGGGGGGGGGGGGGGGGGCAATTATATCCAGCAGCTCCTTGGCACACAGCTTGCAAGCTCGCTCACTACTTCACGAGCTCGCCAAATAGTTGCACACATGCTGTGACTTTTGCTGTCTCTACCGAGCGTCACTTTCATCACAGCCTCCTCAGCAGGGATGCACAGTAGGTGAACGAAGAAATTTTGCTAAACTCGATTGCCTAGAAGGCTAGAAGTTTTGTAGTACGCAGCGCGCCACATTATCGCATCAGACACGCATAGTTGCCCATGGACTTCATTAGAGAGTGACATAGCACTTAATGGAAACACTAGAGCACGCAAAGCACCTGGTCCGGAACACAGTCGCAGTTCATATCGGTTGCATGTACTGCACTAGAGAGTGACATAGTATTAGGGTGCAAACACTAGAGCATGCAAAGTACCTGCCTGGGAAACAGTCCCAATGCATAGCCGTTGCTGCATATACTGCGTCAGAGAGTAACATAGTACTTCGATGGTACACATACAAGAGCACGAAAAGTACCTGGTTTGGAAACAGTTCCAAACGGTACCAAACAGTTCGGAACCAGTTCCAAACAGTTCCAAACGGTACCAAACCGTTCCACGGAGTCCCAAGAGAGTTTCCATCAACTACTCTATTTGCTTGATCGACATCAAGACTATCAATTTGCGCACATACTTACATGGTAGAGATATTAGAGCACGCGAAGTACCTGGTTTGGAAACAGTTCCAAACGGTTCCAAACCGCACCAAAGAGTACCAAAGAGTTGCGAGAGAATTTACATAAACTATTTGCTTGATTAACATCACGATTATCAATTTGTGCACCGTTGCCCTTTTGCCTTGCATTGGGCATTTACTGCATTTTTGAAATCTCTCCTTTCTTCCGGGAAGCATTTTCTTTTCCTCGCCATTCGTCTTTGCGGAGATTGCCAGAGCGAACAATCATCGGAGGCTTTGCTAACAGTGCCTACGAGACACTTACCCGTACTTTTCCCACAAACATCCCTTACCCGTGCTTCTCTCAGGACCTCGAGTCATTTTTAAGTTCCAATACCGTCGCATGGGACTAGTGTCCAGCGTGGTGCTCCCGGTGGTGGTGCTCCGAGTGGTGGTGCTCCGAGTGGTGGTGCTCCGAGTGGTGGTGCTCCGAGTGTTTCTTGATCTCCATTGACTTCATCCTCCAATGGCCATCGTCAGTACGGTGCATGGATGCTTTCACAATGTGATCTGAGGATGAGATGCCCACGTTCAGCACAAGATGAATTGTTGTTCCATCCCCAACCTGCGTAAACAAAACAGTGCAAGCAAAACCCATGAACACTTCACCTCCTTAGTACACACAGCTGCATTTCATACGCGGTTACAGGAGGTCGACAGAAAGTCGCCACAAGATCGACACAAAAAAGGTTCGCGGAGGTGCACAGGTCCACCGAAGTTTCAGAGAAGGTTGATAGAAAGTTAGACGGAAGGTTCACAGAAATTTCGATCAGAGGTCAACCGGAGGCCAAGATCCACAGAGAGGTCCACAGATCCCCAGAAGGCTGGCAATTTAACAGAGGGTAGACAGAGGGTCCAGAGGGTAGACAGAGGGCCCACAGAAGATCCAAGGTGCACAGAAGGTCGAGTTCAAGAGACCGTCTGTCGCATACTCGTGAAACACAGTCACAAGTATGGCGCAATTCAACAGGAGGTCAGGGGAACATCATGGATGAATTGTGCAATTTGTTCTAGAACCGAACTAAGGTGCAAAAAACACCCTCACAAAAATCATACAATTTAACAAACCCAAAACAAAAAAAAAAGAGGATCTCATGCAAAGAAGACCAATGGAAGGCATGCAGAGAGTCGACTTGCCCAACAAAATCAACACTGTCAAATTCTCAACTACCGTCTTCACCCAAATAGAACGTGGGGTCATGATTGCCGTATTTGGTTCGACTTCCAGTGCCGAGGCAGCGATAGTGACCAGGTGCTCTATTCGGGTGAAGACGGTAGTAAGAAAGCGTAACTACCCAGTTGCCTTCACACAATGCATCCGTCATCAGTGTTGAATCCACAAACTTGCATAAAAAAAGAAAAGAAAAGAAAAAAATCCACAAACTTGGCTGACAGCCGATACCTGAATGGGTCAAAGCCGCCAGAAACCTGTTTATGTCGAACACAACGCAAAAACACAATCCCTTTTCCAACACACCGGCATAGAGGATTGTCCTCAAGGTTCAAACTCATAAACGAGGAAGGGAGGAGGGAAGGGGGGGGGGGGGACAAGGAAAGCACAAGGAGGCAAGGAAAGCACAAGAAATCCATAATCCAGTCAGGTTGGACTCTCTCTCAATTACCTACCACATCCAATAGCAGGGGCATCCGCTACACAGGACAGAGTGAGCAGCAGAGATACAGTCGATTACATCAGGGAAAAAGAGCGGGAAATCATTCGAGGATAGCAAAAGAAAAAACACTTACTCGTCGGATCAGGTTAGAAATGAATAGACATGAGTGTCTTATCTAGTCTGTGTCTTTTGGGCGATTAACGGACATTTTGCGAACATCACAACAAAAATACATATTTTGGGAAAGAGATGAAAGTACAGTCATCAACAAAACAGGAGTGACGAACCGACCTCTGCCTCCGCGGAAACCACTTCTTTCACTTCTGGTGGCTCCAAGGAGTTCGATCTCGCCCTAATGCCTCTTTCTGCATGTTCCACTGCCTGTTTCACAGCAGGATCTTCCGTGCTTATCGAATGCCTACCCCGAGGTCGAGTCCCCCGGTGAGCTCCCAGATCTGCCCTCGTTGTCCGCAAGTGTGATTCTCCATGCACATCTGGGAGTTTCTCAAAGGATACCAGTTCCCTTGAATTCATCCACGCCTGGTCCACCACCTTTGCCAGAAACTTCTCATGTCCATTCTCCGTGCCTATTTCCAAAGTCAAGTGGTACATAATACCCGCAACCACCTGCGACGCTGCAGACAAAATGCCGATCAGAGTAACTTCCGTCTGGTGGTTCTCAGCCTGCAGCATCACAGACAAGTTCAAAAAAATGTGTCACAAAAAAAGGTCACAAAAAAAAAGGTCACAAAAAAAAGGTCACAAAAAAAGGTCACAAAAACAGGACCGAAACAACCATCACACTGAAGAATCCAACCAACCAAACGTCACTTCAAATTGATCGCAACAATGCACAAGTCAAGAAGCATTAGGGGAAACTTGTAGGCACTTCATTCGACCGAATCTGAACATGAATATATTTTTCGGTATTTCCAGTTTAGTCCTGTAACTTTTAAACTGTTTGTTTTTATCCCTGTTCGTTTTTTTTTTTTTTTTTTTTTTTTTTTAGCTCCCTTCTCCTCATTGCGGGACAGGAATATATTTTTCGCTCACCTCACATATCTTTTAACCGGCGTCCTGCCATGTCATCATAGAACATATCTTTCTTTCACTACCTAGCTACCACTACTCCTAAGGCTATACAGGGCACCCCTGCAAGCATAGCTTTCTACCTACTGGCATCGGGGATATTTCTGCAATTTCCGATATAGAAACATCTGGGTAAAAAAACCGTAAAATGTAAGCACTGTGTTTCCGTTTTTGTCCTGTTATTTTGAAACTGTTTGTTCTTGTCCCGGTTCGTTTTCAACCTGCCGTCGGGGATATTTCCGCAATTTCCGATACAGGAACATATTATGGGTTAAAACTTAATAGGTTCCCAAGAGGGATTTGGCAGATACCCGGTAGACCTGAAAAATAAAGCAGGGTACCAGAGCTTTCCAGTACTTCTGTACCTTGCCTGGAAGTGGGGAAAAATTCCGAAAAACACATCTTTCACTGAAAGTTCTATCCGGGCCTACCGGTAGAGTCCCTAGAAATAGTTCGGGCCCAGCGGCCGGCGACCTGACTGGCTGCCCAACAACATGTAAGGACATGGCCAGAAAAGGATTTAAAGAGCTTCTCTGGAAACGCCCAAACCCCTTTAAACCCTTTTTCTGGCCTGCAGCACTCAACAAGGTTGCCAGTTGCTCGACCAAGCACTCAAAACCCTGGACTTTCAAGAGGTGTGACCCTCGATTTTCAAGAGAGGTGTCCAGGCACACGTCTCAAAATTAAACAAAGACTTATACTTGTCTTTTATTCATAGAAAAAAAAAGAGAGGTGTCCAGGCACACGTCTCAAAATTAAACAAAGACTTATACTTATCTTTTATTCATAGAAAAAAAAAGAGAGGTGTTAGACCAGGGTTTCGAAAGTTTCTCCCTAAACGCCCAACCCCCCAGCCTGCAATACTCAAGCTTGCAAGCTGGTCAACCACGCCCACTCGAAAGACCCTCTCTTTTCAAGAGGTGCGATGCTCGATTTTCGAGAGGTGTGTCCCAGCACACGACTCAGAAATAAACAAAGACTTATGTTTATTCATGACGTCATACATGGTTCACGATTGTCCCGCTTTCAAGAGTGTGCTGTGTTGAGAAGGGCTTAAAATTTTGACCCGCTTTCAAGAGTGCTGTGTTGACAAGGGCTTAAACACTCTTGAAAATGGAATTCTTGAAATGTATGACAGCTCTTGAATCATTTCACAGTTTCAAAAGTGCTGTGGCGAGGCCTAAGCCCAGTCAGCCCAGCCAAAGACACACCGGTGGATGCTGCTACCATCTTCCCCCGAACATAACGCATCCTCATTTTGCCTGTACCGGACCGGAAAGATAGCTTCTATACATTCATGATCAGGGTGCCTTATGTTCGGGGGAAGACGGTAGGCTGCCTCAACTCTTGCCGGAGACAGTCCCACTCGACCTCCCTTGTCCGCGGTGTGAGGGCCTCATGCACTTGCGCTGGCTTGCAACTCCCGGTACTACCGTCTTCCCCCGAACAATGTATACAAGCTATACTTCAGGCCAGATACAGCCAAAATAAGGGTGCGTTGTGTTCGGGAGAAGACGGTAGGCTACGAATCGATGGGGAGTAGCGCTCGTCCATCAGGCGCAAGGAAGTCAGCAGGCGCCTGGTACTTTAGCGGATGGTGTAGTAAGATATGGTGTAGGAGGAGAAAGGAGGGTATGGTGTGGTAGGAGAACGGAGAGAAGGACTTGGACAATGTTCTTCGAGATCTCTTCTCGGTTGTTGATTCTTGGTCTGGTGTGACACTGAAGCACTCTACACGTTCAGAACTGTGATAACGCTCTGTGGAAGGCACTGAGGGAGAAGGGGCAAGTGGGAGAGCTGGTCACACTCTCTATTCCGATTCTCCTTGGGATGTGTGACACAGATTGCTCGAGTTGATGGGCTACTGTGCGCAGCTTGGGTTACTTATGCACGTACATGCATGGGCGTGTGACTTGCTGGACAGCGACAAGGATCGTAGTTCATTACAATGGTATCAAAGCAGGGATGGGTCTCCATTGGAAGAGAGAACAGTGTAAGCTCTCCTGTGAAGGGGATCATTGAACCGGAGTCTTCAAGTATTACCTGTGCATAGTTGAGTGTGAGGGAGAGAAGCGAGACGTGAAGAGGTGTTGGTCAAGAAGCAGATTACTGCACGTTTTGCTTTTCAAGCACATGCAACCCAAGTTCAGACACGCGCACACACAACCCGCGTGTTTATTTTTCGAACACATGCACAGCTCCAAATCGCACCTCCCGCTATTCGCGAACGCATGCGGCAACCATGCTGATGAGTCATGCCATGCCTCCCCCCACACCCAGAAGCGTACAGGCATGAGGTTGCACTGAGCCATGCCAAACGTCTTCTCCATCCTCCCTGCGGAACCCCAGACACATGTCGCGTTAGGATATGCCCTGACCCGGAACAACAGGCACACACACACACACACACACACACACACACACACACACACACACACAAACCAGTCAAATGCAACGTGGACAGATTGTGAACGATCAACTTCCTAATGAGGCAGAGAAAGTCCGGCAAAACGGGCTACTCCAGTCGTGCCTTTCTTATGGAGTTGTGTGTGAAAAAGTACAAACCATATGGGATCCAAGCTGTATCCTCTCTCTCTCTCTCTCTCTCGCGCGCGCGCGCGCACATGCACTCTGCCGAACTGCGATGGCCTACGCACAGGATGCCTGCAGCTTACACGCGGCGATTACCGAAAAGTAAAAAATGTCTGGAGCGGCAATATGCACCCAACGAGAGAGACGTGGGAGCTGTTTCTCTTTGCGCTTGGAGGGTCCCGACGAAGGTTAGACGCGCGGAAAGAGAGAGAAAGAGAGAGAGAGAGAGAGAGAGTGAGCTCCCCTTTATTCTGTGCTTTAAGCAAAACCGCAATAGATCATTAACAATAGTCTTGGTGATTTCAAGTCGACTTAGAGAAGTCACCCCTTACAAACTAAGGAGAGCTTTCTTATTTTAACAAATCGGCATGAACACTCAATCTTTCTTTCCGGGCCTCAGAAATGTACCTGATATTCAGTTCGTGGCTTCCAACAACTCAAAAAGCCAAACGAATGGAAGGTCTAAAGAGTCTACTTGGCAGCCTATGCACTCAGGGATCCTTGTGTAGGATACCATGGCAATAGTTCCGAGTTCCCAAGTCGCCAACGTCGCGCAATGGCCAAGATACTCGGGGATCACGTTCATTAACTTCAAATTACTATACAAAACCACGTGTGCCAATGTCCCAACATGTCCCAGCCGGTCGACCCGAAACGCGTTGGGCAATGTGCGCATCCTGAAACAAATAACATTCCACCACGCGCGCGGAGCGCAACCGGTACTTCGTCTCAGTATATGCACATTCATTCCCTGACGCGTTGATGTCAATCAGCTTCGTACGCTTCAAACGAGCGAGCGAGCGAGCGATGGAGAAGAGAGAGAGAGAGAAAAAGAGAGAAAGAGAGAGAGAGAGATAACACTTGCGATTTGGACAATACGTGCGAGGCTTTACTCTCACAGAATACACGTCCTGCCATGGCATGCGACAACAACAAGTCGCGATCACCCTTCTGCCTCTCTGCTCAGGTAATCATCCCAGCCATCATCTAGGTATTTATACCGTACGCCTCCAGTTCTTCCCCACCTATCCATCCTCTAACCTGTAGTATACTCTTTCTTCATCACGTCCTTGGTCGCAGAATTCCGTCGTCACACTTTCCGCCGCTGGATGTTCATCTCCCAAGTGTCCTCCTACTCTTGCAATTCTCTCTCCTTCTGTCTCTGCTCCTATCTGATGAACCCTTCCCGTAACTCCATTTCCATTCACGCAGTTTTTTATCTGGATATAATCATCATCCTAATTTTCACCAAATCCCTTCCCTCGTATTTTACAATTTCGCCCGCATCCTCCCTGCTTCCGACGATAATCCCGTAGTCCTTTCTATCTGGATATAATTCCTGTCGTACTTTTCTAATGTCCCTCCTTCGTATTTTCCAGTTTTACCTGACTCATCCTTGCTTCCGACGATGAATCCCGTAGTCCTTTCCATCTGAATATAATTTCATTCCTATTTATCAAAAGTCCCTCCTCCGTATTTTCCAATTTTTCGACTCATCCTTGCTTCAGACGATAACTCCCGTAGTCTTTTCTGCCTGGATATAATTAATATCGTATTTTTCAAGAAGTCCCTCCTCCGTATTTTACAATTTTACCCGACTCATCCTTGCTTCCGCCAACAAATCCCGTAGTCCTTAGATATAATTTCCATCATATTTTGACAACAGTCCCTCCTCCGTATTTCCCAATTTTTCGACTCATCCCTGCTTCCGACGATAACTCCCGTAGTCTTTTCTGTGTGGATATAGTTCCTATCGTATTTTTCTTTCAGTCCCTCCTCCGTATTTTACAATTTCTCCCGATATCTCCCTGTTTCCATTGTCCATCCCCGTAGTATTATATACCTGGATATAGTTCTTTCCGTATTTTTACAGATAAACAGTCCTTCGTACTTTTCAATTCTCATCACTGAATATCTTCCGCGGATTCATCCATGTACCTATCCCCGCTCTGGTTGTAGTGCCAAAAATCTTTCCTCCGTCTTTCACGTTTCTCCTGCGTTCCTCCTTGGTTGTTATATTTTACATGCCCTGGTCTTTTCAATCGGGAAGTTTTCTTTTTCTTTTCTTTTCTTTTCTTTTATCTTACTTTTTATTTTATTTTATTTCATTTTATTTTAATTACAAGGAATTATGTGCTAATCGTTGCTTGTGTTTGTTTTTATTTTTGTTTTTGTTTATGTTTTTCGTTTTTGTTTGTTTTTTGTTTTGTTTTGGCTCCGTCGTATTATCAGGTACGTACTTATCTGCTGATTTTCTGTGTATGCTGTCTGGATTTTTCGGAACCTTTATTCCCAATGTAGTTATTTTACAATAATTTACATCACCGCTTTCTCTTTCTGTTTGTTTCGTATTTGTCCTCGTTCTCCAGGAATTTGATGAATATGTCCCGTACGTCTTTGTTCTTGCAATTCTTGATATACGCCAGAATGGCCGTTCGGATAACCTGCCATGGGAATTCCAGCAGTTTGAGCTCCGTAACTTGCAACTTTAAAACCGCTGTTATGTCTTCACGTGAATACGTATTCGCCACGATTCTGTGAAATGTGCCGATGATCGTGAGCTTTTTGGTGCTGATCGAGCCCACGCTCCTGAAGTGACGGATAGACCTAAGAGAGAGAGAGAGAGAGCTCAACAACCCCTCCTGGAGTGATGTCTCATTCTTAAGTTTATGCGTGCCCTTCAGGAGGGGTGATCGCGACTTGTTGATTGAGAGAGAGAGAGAGCACAGGAAGTTGATTGACATCGAACGGACTACGTAGACAAACCACCATCCTAACGAATCACATACTACACAACAGATTTCACTTCAACGCCTTGCGCTGCTTACGTCCACGACGGTTACACGCTCATTACCACAGTGAGATCTTCTTGTGTTTTTTACCACAGTGAGATGTTGTTTTTTTTTACCACAGTGAGATGTCGAGTAGACAGTTCCGAGCAGGTTCATTGACGACAAAGGCGGGTATGTCCGACTCAATCAGCACTCCGGTCATCGGTCGACCATCATCAACTGAACTTCCCGTGATCAGAAAACATTAAGAATCCTTTCGGCCCGATGCGGCAATGATCAGGGTGTGTTGTATCCGGGGGAAGACGGTAGCCGTAACTACTCGTCTGTAAGGCGATATCGTGACGGCGGCCATGGAATCCACACACCACCTGCCTGCGACTACGAGCACGACGATGCAGCCATCGCTGACTCCTATAATGTCTCCTCTTCGTCCTGGTGCAACGGGGTAGAGCAGGCAGCGCCATCGAAAAAGAGGGGACAAAGGAAAAATGAAGCGTCGCCTTCTGATAATTTCTACCCGGGCTCTCGTTGTGTTGCCTGCCAATCACACTCACACTTTTTCGACTGAGCTCTCGACATGATTACAGTTAGATGCATCCACGCCTGGCCGTAACTGCAGTCAGATTCATTTTGAAAAGTGCTAGTGCGAGTATGCCCTCACGCGGATGTGCAGAGATTGCTTTCTTTGCAAGAAACGTGTTCAGCAGCCCCTTGGGAATTCCTTTTCACCATCCACGATTCTCTCCCTTTTCCATCGACTTCCTGTTGCTACCAACTCCCAACTGCCAACAGTCTGACGCATGGATAACATATTTGCTCTCCTGTCGGACTACAGATTTGATCTCTCAGCATCGCTGTCGTTGTACAACTGCAATACTGTAAATTAACAATTCACTTCACTGAAATACACAGGAAAATCGACGGATCTGGTTCCAGGTTATCCCAAAAAAACAGAAAAAAAAAAAAAACAGAACATGGGCTTAGTGAGCGGACATATGTGGAAGAGAGGACACATGCAAATGCAAATACATATCATATATATACTGTTCGGCCTCCTGATGAGTCGGTGAGACTCCGACGTAACAGTTTGTCACAGCCCCTCGTTTGTTGTCCTCTTCTCCCTCTCTGCAGACGGTTTGCGGGCAGGTCTGTTTGACGATATATATTGTCACACATATACTTCGTATATATATTGTCACAGAGTTATCAGAGCGCAAAAGCGAAAAAAACAGAAGGAAACAAAAAATATATCGTCAAACAGAGCTGGCCGGTAAACCGTAGGCAGAGAGGGAGGGAGAAGAGGACAACAAACGAGAGGCTGTGACAAACTGTTTTGTCGAAGTTTCACCGACTCGTCAGGAGGCTGAACCCTCTACCAGTCTGCAGAGTCTCCTAACCAATGACACTAAGTGCTAATCCACCTTAACCACAGTTGTGATTAAGGATCAAGACTGCCACGACAACTCGTACCCTGCAAGAACTGAATTCTTAATCTGCTTCGGGAGCGCTAAACTATACGCCAAAATACATACATACTGTATATATCGCCACACCGAGTATCGGAGCGCAAAGGCGAAAAAAACAAAACAGAAAAAGGAAAGAAGGAAAGCTCCGCCTGTTCATCACCTCTTACGTACAAAGGCCGGCCACGCATATGACATGATAGGGAGCAGGATTACTGCGCACGAAGGTGATGCGGAACGGCGGCAGCCTTCGTTCATTCAGTCAAAAGGTGCAAACGCGTGAGACCCCCAATCGCCTCTGATGGGGCGGAACTATCTAGCGGGGGCGGAGAGGGGGGGAACTATCTAGCGGGAGGGGGGGGGAACAGATCAGGGGAACTGTCTTGGGGGGGGGGGGGGGGGTGAGGAATAGATTCCGAAATTGCCAATAATCAGAACTTGATCCATTGCCACCATTACGCGTCTTGACGTCACCACGTCCTGGTGGAGATCATGAGTCTGGTCTGCAGCGAGTCGACGTGCATACTGACAGAGGCGAATATATTGCAAACTTTAGATCTGCTTATGGGCAACCGCAAAATTTCAGGTACGACAAGTTCCAATCGAGTCCTTTTTTCCTGTCGTTTCGGACGAAACACACACACACACACATACACACACACACACACACACACACACACACACACACACACACACACGCACAAATTTACTTTGCAAGCCGAATAACAGTGTTTTCTTTGTCGTCAGTTCGAGCGCGAGAGAGAGTTCTCCCTCTAAAGTGGACTGTGAGGGAGTGGGATCAACGTTCTCTCTCTCTCTCTCTCTCTCTCTCTCTCTCTCTCTCTCTCTCTCTCTCTCTCTCCCCCCAACGGAGCGCACACACTTCACCGTGAGAGGATGTAGCTGTGAGAAAGTGAGTGAGAGAGAGGTCTGATCTCTCCCAATGTGCTCGACAGACATAAATATCGTCATCCCTACTAGTAGTGTGCGAGACAAACAGATGTCAACGTGCGCCATGCGCAGCCTACGTTGCAACGCCACTAACCGTCCGCCTCCCTCCTCTCTCTCTCTCTCTCTCTCTCTCTCTCTCTCTCTCTCTCTCTCTCTCCACACACACACACACACGCACACACATTTACATACCCATTCCCATCGATGATTGCGTGTATCCTAGGGACCGAGGAGAGATCGGATCCCCTCAACGTGCGTGACAGTACTCTAGATGGTAATTCACTTCCCCACTATTTAAAACGGCAACTTCGTCTATTTTTTGTTTAAAAATACGCCAGGGACCTCGCGGTATAAACAGTAATGGCAATGGCAGGGAGTTTCGCCACCTGTTCAGACGAGAGACAAAGAGAGACGCATAGACAAACCTTCCAACTCCCTCTTTCATTGTTCAGCTATTCATAACTCAATCATCACCACCATCATCACCATCTTCATCGTCATCATCTTTCTTTGCAGTCATCGTCGTCGTCGTCATACCTCGTATATACCATACCATCATTCATCACCACCATCATCATCGGCTGTCATCACGATTCCTCCAATCACTATCATACAACGTATTTTTTTCAAAAAGCAGAAAAGATATCACCATCAACAACCAGGGAATAAAATACAAGACCGGGATTTCACAGCTATAGTGCCACGCCGCAGCGCTCGCCGCATACCAAAGAATAGCGTGTCTATGGTTCCGTGAAACTCGGATATGTACAGTCGACTACCTCTGGCATTCGGGGCGATTGGTGCAGCGAGCGAGGCTCATAGATATCTCCAGCAACTCTGAATTCCTTCGCTCGGGAAAGGAAGCTAAGCAAACCCATTTGGCTGAATGGTACACACACACACAAAACATAAAGAGGGGTGAACAGACACGTGACTGTTGGTGAAAAGATAAAGTGGTCGGTTCCCCCCCTGGGAATCAGTGGTGGAATCAGATGGACTTGCCCAAAAAAAGAGAATCAAAAGAAATCAGATCATGTGTTCGAGCCTTACCCGCTGTTTGTTGTGCTCGTTGACAGCGAATTGTGCGATCTCCTGCATCGACAAGTCGTTGGCATTCTGAGGCGTAAGTCCTCCCACAATCCTTAGGGGGTGGCGGTCAACAGTCAAGATCGGCTCTCTGATTGGCGTCGGCTCCATCGCAGGAGACGCGATCAACGGGTCTTCGTACGTAGAGACTGTGGGACCACGTGGCACTGGTTCTTCTCCTTCCTCCGCCAATGCCACTTCTCCCTGGAAGGCCAGACCCCCTTCCACTGCCCTCCCGCTGTTCGACGCCGGCTCAGCTATGAGACCGACAGGGACATCAGCATCATCACCGCGAGAAGACGGCCATGCGTAGGTCCTGCTCGTACAAAAGAGCGCCAATATGACTACAAAGGAACACGTGTATATAGCGCGAGCAATACTCCCACTTGTTCGGGGTTCCAGCAACGACCGCGTAGTAGATCGACAAGAGGATGCGGGCGAAAAAGAAAAACGGGCAGAGGTGAAGGAGGAGGAAAAGGAGACGGCGACACCGCGCCACTTCCTAAGCTTCCTCGACTTGCTTGAACAGATCGTGAACTCCGCGGGCTGCCTACTCCACCCCATTACCGTCGATTCTTTTCTTTTCCTTTATAACGAATGAAAGATGGCGGAGGGCGGGAAGATGTCAAACAGTAATAGGAGTGATAGGAATGATAGGGGTCGAAACTACGCGCCAAAACAAAACTATAGGACCGAGTGCGCGCCGAGGAACAAAAAATGCGCGATAGCACAGAAACATGATGAACAGAGCGAGGCAGCCGTTTCGATTCCCAGCCAATACGCTCTGCGCTCGTACAATTGATTGCGCGTGGGAGGTGACGCGAGCTCGTTTTCTGTTTTCCTTTTTTTTAACACATTACGATATGCTGAGGACTGACGTCCTGTCCAGATTCGACAGGTAATTGAATTAGCCAAATGAATGTGTACAGAAATTATTGCACTCGCGGGATCGCGATCAGAAAAATGCAAGATACTCGTGCCAGCATGCATGCACAGGGAAGCAGACGAGTGCGCGTGAAGCGTGAGCAGTGGTCTCCACCGAAACTTCACTGGTGAACACGCCTACTGTGGCTCCCCTACCAAGGCACTGGGAACGACGCCTACTGTGGCTCCCCTCAAAACGTAGCCCTCCGCTCCTTCGACGCAGCGCGTGCCGTGCCACGTGGTTCATGAGACATCGACTCTTCCCCCGGTTTTTCTTTGGGAAAGATTGCCTCATGACCCTCAAAGATTTTGTCTACGGTGCGGTCCACCGTCTCTGTCAAGGTGCCCGAATTCTGGAGGTGGACCACCACTGCAGAATTGGGTCTTGCTCCACGACACCAGACTCTCGAAAATTCAAGTGTTCTGCCTCCCTCCACTTAGGGCCTCGCCACACCACTCTTGAAAACTTTTTTTCAAGAGTTGCTGCATAGCCACACAGCCTCTTGACAGTTGGGGCAGTCGAGAGCTGTCAGAGTGGCTCTTGAAACCCTTTCAAGAGCAGCTCTCGAAAGATTGGAAACCCCAGCCTGCAACTGGTGCAATTTCAGGTGTTCTTGGCCTAACCCTTGAGGGAGCATCAAATTTCAAGAGTTGTCAGCCGTTATCCTGACGCCATGCGAAAAAAACAAAACTGTGCCACGCAGAGCGTGGGGGCGCAGCCAGGGTAAAGTAGAAAAGTAGTTGTAGCGGGGAAGCGGCGCTCAAAGCCTGCGAATAGCCGGTGCGAATAGCCTGTATCGATCACTTCGGTTCAATATAATAATAAAAAAAAAAACAGCGGGGCCCGGGTCTCACTGTCTTCGTGTAGTTGTAGCTAACAACACGGTGCGACACCGTGGGTAGGCATGCAGGTGGCATTCGCCGACGGAGATTTTTTTTTTTTTTTTTTTTTTTTGGTTCTGGCCGATGGAGATTTTGCGTCGGCGGTGTCAGTCAATCGTCAGCCTGGATACTGTTCTTGGCCCTGATGGTACTGGGCGCAGGGGGTGTCCATATACGCATCGCAGGCCCGTATTTGGGTGGACCACGTCATCTCGGACGTTAAAGTGTTGTGTGAAATTCCATAGTGTGCGGTCCCTTCCGTGATTCGTAATGCACTGCCCCCGCACACAGCCCCCCAGAGCTCTCTACCAGGCCTCACGCCCCCACTAATGTGCTCAGTGCTTATAAAAAGCTTTTAATAGGGATCTTTGGTGGGTACTGAAAATGAAGACGAGGTTATTTTGGAGGAATTGCAGGAGGAATGCTTTCAAAAATGGGTTTGGAAAAGTAGTTGTCGAGGACGAGGAAAAATGATTTCTGTACGAATCTGTTCGTAAAAATGGAACACATTATGTTGGGCATTGCATTTTGTTGAATATACGAATGTGTTCGTATGAGTGAGAGCCTGGAACTTGTGTGCTACCCTTGTTGCCCATCCGCTCTGGTGAAGCCCTGCTTTCAGCCATGTTATGGTAAAGAGAGCAGAAACGGTGAAAGAGTGATGGGTTCGTGGAGCAAGTCTACGACTCGTAGAAAGCACTACCCAAAGGCAATGTTCTTGCTCTCTTGGTTCACAGGGCTCGGGCAAACCATTTCAAGTGCAACCAATCAATGAGCTCGAAGGTCAACTCAAGGGTGTATGCCCAAAAGTTCAGGGTCAAAGAGGAACGTACTGCTACCTTTTTGAAGGACTCGTAAGGTAGCAGGCAAAGGCCAGTATTCGCTGGTCCCCTTCTTTAACATGAGAAAAATGGTTTCGGTTCCTTTCCAAGCTTAATGTTCATGGCCTCAAGGTTCCAGTGGAATTACTTGAGGGTAAGTCATGGATGAAACTTGGTGAAGCTAGTTGTTAACCTCTACATATGCACTGAAGCTGCAGGAGACGGTGGCAGTCAACGTTGAAAGCTATTGTCCCTCTGCTGTGGGTAGGATAACCAAGTGAAGTTGAGATCCCACGTGGAGTCGTCATAGAATGAGTTCAAATGTATGCATGCAGTTGCCTCAAAATTGAAGTTTGATCATGATGTTATAGTTGTGGACTGGTACTGGACAGGTGATATTGGTGGCTAGGAACTAGTTAATCCAAGGTTTTAAGGCTAGATAGAATAGTGGTCGCCAGTAGGAGGATCTGGTGCTGGAATATGCCACTGTTAGGGTAGGAATATTGGAGTCCCTTGAAGACGTCATCCATGTTTGTCACTGATGTTTTGGCCTGGGTTCGTTGTGTGCACAGGTCTACGAACGAGGAGGACATATTGAGCCACCAAGTAGGGAGGATCAGAATTATGAGCGCCTTCGATACTCCTGCTCCCAAGGATCCAAAGTTTGTTACGGCTACAATCACCAGCTTTTATGTTGCAGACAACTTATGTGTTGCTGCACTTTGACCTTGATGAGCTACGGTGTCGGGCGCATCGGTCCGGCACCACACGGGGGCAGCGCGGGACCCTCCCGG